AAAAAAAAAAAAAAAAAAAAAAAAAAAAAAAAAAAAGAAAGAAAGAAAGAAAAAAGAAAAAAGTAGTAAGAGCTTTGAAATTGAGGAAGGGGAGAAGTTATAGTTATTGCTAATATCATCATCTAAGTAATAACCATGGGGATGGTGACTAAAACAAGATGTAGGAGAAAATCTTACAAGAGAGGAGGGTAAGACTCAAACGGATGGAGTACACATGGGATAATGGCATTGACACCAAGAGGTAAGAGATGGAAAGCTTGAGAGAGCAGCAGCTAAGTCAGAGTGGCGGGAATTGAAGAGGGACAGCAGGAGGGTGTGAATGGGAAGCGCAGTGGGTAGTAACGTGCCTGAGACTTAGGTCTAAGACAGAAGTCTGTAGAGGGACAGGCAGGGAAACGTTGCAGTCTGCATTCTTTCCTTGTCTGGGATGACCCCCCCCCCAGCGCATCCTGGAATGCGCTGTGAGTTGCTGACCTATGATGTCAGCTTCCTCCCTGTAAGCCCCAGTCCCGCAAAGTGAACAGACAAGGAAGGGCCGCCTGAGGCTCTGGGACTATGCTGCTCTTTTCTCTTTTTATCTCTGAAAGTTGGTAGGAAATACCATTTTCCCCTGTCCTATTTCCTTTAATCTCCTCTAATTGTTCTCCAAAAAAAAATTGTTGAGCGAATGAATGAATGAATGAACTAGTAAAACCAAATTTCACCTTATAAATGGACAGCAATTTAGAAAACACTCAGAGTATTTTGGAGCCCCTTAGAGGACGACCTTCTGAGAGGGAACAAAGAATGCATTGCTCATAGCTCTTCCTTCTTCTGTGGCTCTAAGAACTGCATTGAAGCCGACCTGCTTCGAATACAAAACTAACTTTTGTATTATTTTTTTCCTTCCACTCCCCCATGTTTGTCTTTCAGAGAAAAGGTTCGGAGAATATGACTATTAAGAGATCTGAATGCTCTCTGCCCAAGAACCTGCTGTGCCTTTAGTCAGCGGAGTTCCTGCTTTCTCCTGTGACGGATGTTCTTTTTGTCCTGGACACTTACTGACCATAAACTAAAAAAAAAAAAAAAAAAAAACAGGGACCCAGTCAGTGCAGAGAGTTACAGATTAACAGAGTCTTTCTGCTTCTGCAGCTGTTTCTCTCTTTTGTTTAAAAGATTTCTTCCATTTAGTCTCATTTTCCAAACATGTTAAATTCTGAGTAAAGATCAAGTCTTCAGTGCAAAACAAAAGGAGATTAAAATCCTAGTGGACTGAGATTAAAATCCGTGTGTCAGTTTCTCTGGGGCGTGCGTGAGTTCTAAATGACTCGGTAAACTCAGAGCAGAAGGAATATGTTTCCTCTACGTCAGGTTGGTTTCCTTTTGGTAATGTGTTATTTGGGTACTTGGCCAACCAAGAAGAGCCTAAGAGGTACCTTCCCCCAAATGATCATGAATGTGTTTGCCGAAGTCCTTTTATGCGTTATTGGACAAAGGCTGTAGAAATATCAGACATTAGAAGGTGAGGCTAACTCTTCTGAACTTTTCTGTTTGTCCAGTGTTTTTTTTTTTATCTTATTATTATTGTTATATATAAATTTCTAAATCTCTCCCATCTCTATGTCTTTTGTAAAAATAGATTAATGGTCTGAATATTTGTGTTTCCCCCAAATTCATTCTTTGAAATCTTTACACCAAAAGTAGTGGTAATAAGAAGTAGAGTCCCCTGAGAAGCTGGATCATTAAGGCAAAGCAAATACGATGAAATCTGTACCGCTGCATGCCTTAGTTAGGGTGTCTATGGCTGCGATAAAAAATGCCCTGGCCGAAAAACAAGTTGGGGAGAAAAGAGTTTATTTGGCTTACATTTCCTTATTGCTGTTCATTATTGAAAAAAGTCAGGACAGGAACTCAAACAGGGCAGGAATCTAGAGGCAGGAACTGATTCAGAGGCCATGGAGGGGTGCTGCTTCACGTGGCTTGCTTAGTCTGCCTTTCTATAGAACCCAGGACCCCAGTTCAGGGGTGATCCCACCCACAGTGGCTGGGCCCTCCCCATGAATGTCTAATTAAGAACAAGCCTTACAAATAGATCTTATGGAGACGTTCACTCAACTGAGTGTTGCTAAATAGACTATTTCTTTAACTATGAAAAGATGAGTTATATTTGTTTATGTTGTGGAATATTTCTTTAGCTATGTGCACATGAGTTGCATTTATTTTCCCTTGCCTGCCTAAGGCACCTGATTGGCCTAATAAAAAGCTAATGGCCAAGAGCTAGGAAGTAGAGGGACAGGTGGGGATGGCAGATGGAGAGAATAAGTAATAAGAAGAATTTAGTTTGGGAGGAGAGAGAATGAGGGAGAAAGAGAGAGAGAGAGACCTGGGACCGGCCAGTCAGGCAGGTGCTAGCTAAAAAAAAAAAAAAAAAAAAAAAAAAAAAAAGCAGGACATACAGAATGAAAAAAATGTAAAAAGCCCAAGGCAAAACACAGATGTTAAATTAAGTTGTAAGAGCTAGTGGGACAAGCATAAGATAAGGCCGAGAATTCATAATTAATAATGTCTCCACATCATGATTTAGGAGCTGATTGGTGGCCAAAAGAAAGCCTACTTCAACTGAGGCTTTTCCTCTCTGATTACTCTAACTTGTGGTACGATGACACAAAACCAGTTGGTACGGTGTGAGAGAGGCCCCTTGTCTCTTCTACCAAGTGAGAACTGATGACAGGTGCCATTTATGATCCCCAAAGGGGGTTCTCGTCAGACACTGGGTCTGTCAGTACCTTAACCTTGGGCTCTCCACCCTGCAGAAAGAAAACAAGCCATCTTGGTAACGATACTTTGTTATTGTCGCACATGGGAACTCAGGCATTTGTTCCTTCCTGGGGGCCTGGGTGTGGCAATGTCTTTCCTGGTGTTTGAGCTCAGAGGACGCAAGCTTAGGTGACAGACAGAGAAAAAATTGGTAATGAGACATTAGGGAAAAAAATAGGAAAAAAAATTCAGGAAACAAAATTTTAAAATGGATCAAAACCTTAATTTTGTGAGTTAGATGATTCAAATAATAAAATAATTTTATTCCTGGCCATAAAGCTATTCCTGCTTCTGAAATTTCCACATAGGATGTCTCAGGAAGGGAACATTCCAGGGAGACAGGCCTGTGAGCTGTACAGAAATGATAGCTATATATATATTTTTAGAAAGGGTTACCTTATTCGTCTTAAATACTTATTTGTTTATTTGTATGTATGTATCTATGCCTGTGTGAGTTATGTCAGCAGGTACCTGCGGGTGCCCACAGACACCAGAGGCCATTGAGTCCCCCAAAACTGGATGTAAAAGAAACTGTGAGCTACCTGATCTGGGTTCTGGGAACCAAGCAGGGTCCTCTGCCGGAGCTTAAGTGAATGCTCCTAACCACTGAGCCATCCCTCCACCACCTGCTACTTACATTCTTAAGGTAAGCTGTGGGCTGTATGCTAAACGTTGCTTCCATCTATGGGAAAACCAAGCTGCAGGTGGACCTCTAGGTGGTCGGCCTGAATCAAAGTGAGAGCCTGTGCAGATGCCATTAGAACCCTGATAGACAGGGGACGCATGCGTTGATTCTGTGAGTTCAGCAGTTACATTATAGGGAGCGCTAACAGGAAGTGACTATTTCATGTGGACGCAACAATCTTAAAATAAATAAATAAATAAATAAATAAATAAATAAATAAATAAATAAATGATACAGAATGGGTGTGAGAGGCATGCGGATTTAATTCCTGTCTCCGTTCCTTTCTAGTTCTGTAGTCTTGGGTGCATCCCTAAGTTTATGCTTTCCTGTTCCTTATCTGGGAGACATCTCTGACACAGGGCCAGTCTGAGAATCAAGGCAATATATGAGATGAAGATATTTGGTAATTGTGATACTCGACACAGCATTTCCTGTGTGCCTGAAGCTTTAGAATTAACACACATTGGCTGATTTAATCCTTATAAATAAATACATAAATAAATGGGTAAATACTATCATTATGCCCCTTTAGAGTAGAAATGGAGACACAGGAAATTGAAAGAACTCCCAGAAGCCTAAGATGTAGGAGGAGCAGGGAACCCAGTGGAAGCAGGCTGGAAGGATCGTAGGAGCCAGAGGAGTTGAGGACACGGGGAGAACATGGCCCCCAGAATCAACCAAGCAGGGCTCCTAGGGGCCCATAGAGACTCAAGTGGCAATCACAGGGCCTGCATGAGGCTTTGCTAGGTCCTCTGCATATGCGTTATGTTGTGCAGCTTGGTGTTTTCGCGGGACTCCTAACAGTGGGACTGGGAACAGCTCTGATTCTTTTGGCTACTCTTGGATCCTTTTCCCCCAACGGAGTTGCCTCATCCAACCCTGATATAAGGGTTTGCACCTAGTCTTACTGTAACTTATTACGTCGTGTTCAGTTGATATCCCTGAGAGGCCCACTCTTTTCTGAATTAAAAATGCAATTAAAAATAATTAAAAATGAATCTTTTTTTTTTTTTTTTAAAGAGAAGAATGGTTAAATGGGGGCAAGTGAGATGGCTCACAAGAGCTTGTCATGGAAGCCTGGAAGCCTGAGTTCATTCTCAGAATCCACATAAAGGTGGAAGAGACAGACCTATTAAAGTTGTCTTCTGACCTATACACATGCGCCATGGCATGCATGTTCACACGTACAGATATTGTGCACACACATGCTAATAATATTAGTAGTAATTATTATTACTTTATTAAAAGAATGATTAAAGGAAACTTGTTGCTTTGTTTACTAGCTTATGAAAAACAGAAACGATTAAAAAAAAAAGATGCCAGTGATAGCTAATCAGGTAAAGGCACCTGCTGCCAAACCTAACAGCCTGAGTTTGGTCCCCAGAACCCATGTGATGGAACAGAAAAACAGACTTTCACAAGTTGTCTCTGAACCACCACATGTACGTTGTGTGGCATGGCTCTCCACCACATGTACGCCAAAAAATAAAATAAAATAAACAGTACAAAACAATCATCCCAATGAAATACATCAGGAGTTACAAGAAGAGAGAGAAAGGGAAAGAAAGGCATTTGCGAAAGATAGAGAATATAGAAAAAAAAACCTATTATCTCAACACTTTGGAGGCTGAGGCAGGAGAATTGTAAGCCTGCATCCAGCTTGGGCTGCAGGGTAAGACTCTCTCTCTCTCTCTCTCTCTCTCTCTCTCTCTCTCTCTCTCTCTCTCTCACTCACACACACACACACACACACACACACACACACAAATAAAGCAGCTGCTTGTCAGTTCTGGATCTGGACTCGGGAAAGAACTAGAGCAGTGTTGTCTTGGCTTCTTTGAAAAGAAGAGATTCTGATAGTTTGTGTGTTTAAAGCAAGATCAAGAACTAGGATGCGAAAGTCCCTTTTCTTCTGTAGGCAAAATTGTCTTCTCCCACAGACTTCATTTTCTTGACAGTGTGTACACGTTTTTAGATTAGATGAGGCCTTTGCGCTTCACTCTCTCTCTTGCCGTTCTTATCTGTCCTAGCAATGCGTTCTTCTTACAGACCCACATAATTTCAAGTTCCTATTAGATTTAGTTTTTAATTATCTGATCACAGCAGGTCAGGCAAGACCTATTCACCCTAATGGGTGTATTTTCCTCTTTGGTCCTTTTTGTTCAATCTGTGTGTCAGCAAAGTTGTGCTAGTCCATGTGATCTACGGATGGCGAGGCTTCTGGGCCAGCCTTAACCTCCCAGGACGTTTCAGTTTTGTCTCCTATCTGGACTCTCCACATGTGATGCTCTTAACTATAAATCCGATTAAGTGCACAATGTTTCTGTGAATGCTTTCTGTTGACGAGGCCAGGAGGATGCTCTCAAGAGGTTTTCCCCCCACTGACATTCGGGAAGCTGAGACAGGTCAAGGACAGCCTACACCATGCAATGAGACTCTCGCTCTAACAACAGAGGGTACAGAATTTAGTGATTTATTGTAAGTCTGCCCAACTCGACAATGTATCCCCTCTCGATACATTGTCCACAGCTGCTGTCTTGTCCCCACCCAGGAATGCTGTCTCCAGTCCCAGATCTAGATGTGCAGTCCAGACATCCTAGCGCCTTCCTATCCACCAGGACATCTCAAGACAACTCCCTCTGCTCCCCTCCACAGCCCCGTGTCTAGGAAACTGCACTGTAGTCCACCGAGCTGTTCCAGTGAGAATCTTGAAGTTCATGGCCATTACTTGTACTTTGTATCCATTTACAGGCCATGAGCCAATTCCTACCGAGGTTACCTCCTTACACTTTGGTTAACCCCAAGATCACTTTTTATCTTAGTTCAGATCACTATAATATCTTCCTTCATTTCTGTAGTCATCTGCTGGGACTTCTCTTCCTTTCTCTGCTACCTCTACTAGGAGCTGAATCTGGCCATGCCCTTCTCTGGCCATTCACCTCCATTAGTTTTCTGCTGTCCACAAGACACTCAAGGGCTGTACAGATAGCTATGCCACAATACCAACAATGCTTGCTTTTCTCTTTGGCAGTTCACTGTCTGCCGAGGCCTTAACTTTTATTTGCTTGCTTCATTCAGCTTACACAGCAGAATTGTTATTTCCCTTCTACAGGTAAGGAAAGCTGCCACCACAATGAAGAATAGCAAAACTCAGCACATCAGAACTTTTGCTTGTTTGTTTGTTTGTTTTTTGGAGACAGGGTTTCTCTGTAGTTTTGAAGCCTGTCCTGGAACCAGTTCGTGTAGACCAGGCTGGCCTCGAACTCACATAGATCTGCCTGCCTCTGCCTCCTGAGTGTTGGTGTTAAAGACGTGCGCCACCACCTTCCGGCTGACTTTTAGGTTTTTTATATACTATATATTTCATTTTATTCTCATAATAAGTCTATAAAATACAGGTGATTATTATCTCCATTTTACAAATGAAGAAAATTCAAGCGCATTTGTCTGATGTGCTACAATAATTGAGGACAGAGTGGATTCAGACCAAGCTTCATTTCCATGTCTCCATATGTGCGACTCCTTCTGGGTGGACTCCAGGAAAATCCTACTTGGGCAGAGTTCTGCCTGTTGTTTGTGAAGGGTTTCTTTTCTTTTGTCCACCTTTGAGAAAGGGTCTCTGACCCTTAGCACAGTTTGGCCTCAAATTTGTGAACCTCTTGCCTCATCCTCCTGTGTTCTGATATGTAGGCAGGAAGAAAGAGAATGAAGAAAGGGCCTCTGTAGCTTCCAGGGAACCACCGGAAGTATGTCAAGATAACTGTGTCAGAGTTTAGCTTTTACGCATAGCATTCTCTAGTGCAAATGACAGAATCATCAATGGCCTTTGATGCAGATAACCAGTGCTCTGCATGTCTGGACAAGGTCTGGGTCTATTTGATGTAAGAACTGTACTGCCTTAGAAATAAAATTTTGTTTTACAACCAGCCTAAGCCCAAAGATGAGAAGAAAAATGACACCCAAGGACAAGATAAAGAAATGGGAGGAACAGTTGTCCCTTTAATGAACTATGTACTTCTGTATCCCCAAAGTCCCACCCCTTGGGGTAGTTGCTCAAGACATTCCCTGCTGGGCCTGTCTGCTTTCTTTCCTCTCAGAAGTCATAACCTTCAACCTCCTCCTTTTGTGGCTGTGAAGGTCAGCAGCTGCCTGTTCCACTGCTCAGGACACTGTCCCTCTGATCTGACAAACTGTCCTTAGCTCTTCACTGTGTTCACTAAAAAAATTTTTATCTATGTCTATGCAGATGGATAGGTCTCGGTGCAGTCGTGATGATGTGTCCCATCGTTCCCTTTACCTTCCCTCCCTGCATCTCCTGCGGAGTGGGATTACAATGGGGCATCCCTTCACCACCATACCAAACCTCAGACTTGGGGTTAGAAAACTCCACAGAGCTGATTTTCCTTTCCCACACAAAATGTGTTTGTCTTTTACCCTTGCTACATTGTGCTCACAAGATAGCAGCCTGCTGACCTAGTTTCCGAGAAGGGACTGGTTTTATTACACTTGCCATCCTACCTCTTTCTTAGAGCAGGATACCAGGGACCACAGACATGTTTCCATTATCTGTGCAGACTTCCCAGTTCTCATCTGTTAACAATGTTTGTGTCCACCTTTCTTATCTACAGATTCACATGGTATCTGTGGACCTAGAGCTCTTCCCAACATGAATCCACCATTCCTCACTCTGTAACAGAATCCTTGTGGGATCTTCTTCATGGGTAGCTGAATTTACAAATGTGTAAGGGAGAACAATTCAGGTTGATACAAAGAGGATTGGGCACACACATAGCATGAGGGGCATTTACTGTTTTCCCGTTCACTTACCTGGAAGTGCCCTTATTTCATCAGGGTAAAACCCAAAGTCTTTCCACGGCCTTTCCACACTATCAGAAACACTCTCCTCTGATACGGGAGTCCCCTCTGTGTGCTGTGATTACCATTAATGAATAAAGAAACTGCTTTGGACCTATAGCAAGGGAGGACTTAGGTAGGCAGGGAAAGCTAGGCTAAATGCTGGGTGAAAGAAGGACAGAGTCCGAGAGAAGCCGTGGAGTGGCCGCCAGAGTCAGATATTCTGAAACTTTGCCGGTAAGCCACTGTCACATGGTGATACACAGATTAATGGAGATGGGTTAAATTAATATGTAAGAGTTAGCCAATAAGAAGCTAGAGCTAATGGGCCAGGCAATGATTTAAATAATGCAGCTTCTGTGTGATTATTTCGGGGTTAAGCGGCCAGTAACCAATAAGCGGCCTGCTGCTACACTCTTCCTATCCCATCACTTTGTCATGTGTATGTATATCCACCATTCTCTCCCTCTTCCCTTCATCCAGCCAGACTAACACTCCTGCTTCTCTCAACCATCACTTGTTCAATTTCCTCTGCTTCCTTTCTTTACATTCTTTTCCAATGACGCCTGCCTTGATCCTACTTAAAGTCTGAAGCCCAGACGCTTCCTCATCCCACAGTCTCTCAATCTCCTCTGATTGCTACCTTATCACTTTCTGACATACATAGTTTACCTTTTAGTATACCTGCTATCTAGCTCTCCTTACTAGAATATGGGCTTCATAAAACAGAGATGACTATACCTCCTCCCTACGCTGGTCCCTGATGCATCCAAGCACATGTAGAGAATCTTTAGAATATAATAAAGACACACAACATAATTGCTAAGTGAACATGAAAGGTACTGTTCTTAGTCTCTGCCTTCTCTCACCACAGAGCTAGAAATCACTCCTAATGAGTCATTAAACAGGCCAGGTCTGAGGACAGCGTGACTCAGTTCAGAACCTCTCCCGAGCTTCTCATACTCTGTTCTGGAATATTCCCGAGATTGTACTTCTAGAGTAAGCTTATCCATGTCCCAATGCTAGTAATGACTGCATCACACTATGCTCTGATTTCCCTCGGGGGGGGGGGGGCATTTTCTATGTTCATCTTGAGGGCTTTTGAGTTATTCTGTGTTTGTTTTTCTCTTCTTGGGCTTCTCCAGTGGCGCACA